GTAATACAGGTGTGAAGCACCAGTCCTTTCTCCATTCTATCATTCGTGATCCGGAGTGACCTTTTCGTTAGATCTGAGAATGGGTAGAAATAGACATATGATCGCTTATTATAAACTCTCAGGAGCGCTGAAAATACAGAAAGTTTGAATAAAAGTGAAAACAAAAGAGCATCCAGACAGCGACAAGAGGTGGAGGGCCGTGTGGGGGGAGTCTGACTGAGAGATTCTGCCATCAGATTAAGACACAGGAAAAGACGAGGACAAACTAGAAAAATATAAAATCACTGATGGAAAGAAACGGGAAAAAGTTATAAAAGTGCTTCAAGTGAAGGAGCTCAGCACAACATAGAGAATATATATATATATATATATATATATATATATATATATATATATATATATATATATATATATATATATATATAAATGTCGTACCTAGTAGCCAGAACGCACTTCTCAGCCTACAATGCAAGGCCCGATTTGCTTAATAAGCCAAGTTTTCCTGAATTAATATATTTTCTCTATTTTTTTTCTTATGAAATGATAAAGCTATCCATTTCATTATGTATGAGGTCAATTTTTTTATTGGAGTTAAAATTAACGTAGATATATGACCGAACCTAACCAACCCTACCTAACCTAACCTAACCTATCTTTATAGGTTAGGTTCGGTTAGGTAGCCTAAAAAGGTAGGTTAGGTTAGGTTAGGTAGGTTAGGTAGTCGAAAAACAATTAATTCATAAAAACTTGGCTTATTAGGCAAATCGGGCCTTGCATAGTAGGCTGAGAAGCGAGTTCTGGCTACTAGGTACGACATAAATATATATATATATATATATATATATATATATATATATATATATATATATATATATATATATATATATATATATATATATATAAAACGAAAATTCATATCTATTTAATTCGAAATATGCAACTATATGAGCACAGAAAAAAATAGCCAGAGAAAATCACGCACACACTAAAGCCATGCACTTTTTGGAAGTGTTTCTCGTTGTTTTATGAGGTATTAACTACCCTTGAGTGATTGTAATGGGTCAACAGCGTGCATCAATATTTAGTGCAGTGATAACCAACATAAAAGTCATATAATTACGCGAATTCAAAAGTGTAGAGCAATTTTGGCTTCAAATATTGGCGGTGAGGGTCAGTATTGTTTGCTTACACTCGAAATGGCCAGTAAAATGTCACTTGTGTCGAATTGTCTAAAAGATGGCTAGTCGAATTCAACCCAAGTAAATGTAAAATAATAAGTGAGGATGGAAGGAAAGACATTCAAAACAACAGAATCACATCAGCGGTACATGCAAAGCTGGTAAACATCCGAGTAACTTTGATGAATGTGGACAAGGTGATTTTCATGGTTGTGTGCTACCTGTGTAAGACCGGTACTGGAGTATGCAGCTCCTGCTTGTAACTCCATCTAAGAAACACAAGACGGGTTCTAGAGCCTCAGATAACTGTACGAGGTAAGACTAAGGCAACTGAAATACAACAATTTAAATAAGATATATATATCCCATTTCTTACATATATTTCTTATATATAAAAAATAGGAGACATGATCGCGACCTTTAAGATTCTAAGTGATACGGACAAAGGTTTGATATAAACAATATTTATCATGAACAGATGGAGGGAAGGAAGTTTACACACAAATAAGACGCTTATTTGTGTCTTATTACACACATATAAAACAAAAATAAACAATAAGGAGATAAGGACATAGTTTTATTTACCTTATTAATAATAATGTTGAGTAAATAGAATGACCTTAAAAGGGGAGTAATTGAGGCTTATACCAGTCATAGGTTGAAAGGTAGTTATGATACAAAGCTACAGTAGCTAGCTGTTTCATTATACGACCATCATCTGAGAAGACAGGACCCCAGGAGCTTGCGTTCGACCCTGCTGGCACAAACAAAATGTGTTTCAAGTTAGCTGAGTACGTGCACATACTGTGAGTTATATATTGACTAATATGTATATTAGCTAATTCAGTATTATTTATATTTTCTCCCCTCACATACACATTAAGTAGTTAGTAATAGTTAATTGACAGTTGAGAGGCGAGCCGAAAGAGCAGAGCTCAACCCCCGCATACACAACTAGGTGAATACAACTAGGTGAATACACAGTCACAAACACACGTTGTTAACCTCACATTGGCTCATATTTTGACTCACTCGGGCACTCAATTTGCACTCACACATTCTCACAAAGGCTGACCGCTGACTGTGGAGCGCGCGAGTCTTTCAACTTTGAGGGGTTAAAAATGTGTTTCCTGGGTGGAGGCAGATAAGGAGAGAAAATATTGGAGTGAGAGAGGGAGGGAGGGGAAGGCAAAATGAATGGAGACTCAGATGGAAGCGGAGACATGGAGGGGAAATGGATGTAGAGAAGGAAAAAGATGGTAGATGGAAGCAAAGAGAGAGAGAGAGAGAGAGAGAGAGAGAGAGAGAGAGAGAGAGAGAGAGAGAGAGAGAGAGAGAGAGAGAGAGAGAGAGAGAGAGAGAGAGAGAGAGAGAGGAGAGAGAGAGTGAGAGAGAGAG